TATATATTTTTTTCGGATTATCAAAATGAAAAAGATTTAGTAATGTCCACACAACAATACGTGTATTATGTAAATCAAAAGAATAACAGGGACGATAGAATTAAGGCTGAGCATCCCCTTGCAATTATATTGATCAAGCTTAAGGCAGCATTGGACATCGATCCCGATGCAAATTACGTCACCTCCGTTTTGCACAGAATTAACACAGAATTAGTCCTTAAATACAAACACACACAATTGCCTTCCAATATCCCCTAAAACTCTATTGTAAAGAAGTAATTAGACCTGTGCATCTTTTAATATCCATATTAAGATATTAACAAGACTAGTACTTAAAAATCCTAAATGACGTTCAAAAGTCATATTTCATGGACGATATTGGGTGCAAAACACAGTTTTATGTATGACGTTATCAGGACGTTACTTGGTGAGGGACAAGCAAAACTGGCCCCTGTAAAGAAATAAAATGGAGGCTTGTTACATATACTTCTGCATATCAATGGAAAGATAAAATTGTGAATTTAATAAATATCCAACTATAATACATTCATCAATTACTACTAGGGAGTACATGTATTTGACACCTGAAATATGGGGGATATTGGGTTGTTTATGTATCCATTTTCAGCATTTTTAACCCCCCCCCCCCCCCCCCCCGCTCAACAAAAACAGAAAAAATCTGACAAAATAAGTTATGTGCATTTCACAGAACAAGTCCTAAGGTTTTTTTTAGTGTGCTTTTAGGGTACATTTTCCACCTCTTGAAAGAGCTACATTACCTGTTAATTGACTCATGCAATTATGCACATGTGAAAACAAGATGTTTGGGGAGTTATCTCCCCCTATTAAAAAGTCTCACAATTTTTTTTTTCTAAAAATGAATGCACATTTTTTTCTTTAAATATTAAGAGAAGACTCTACTTTATGCGAATAAAAACAAAAAAGATGCAGTTTTCATCTAGACTCCTATAAATAGCAGGAAAATCCCTACCCAGCATTCTTCTCTTTGGGACCCCCCCCCCCTGGATTTTATACTAAACTGCGTTTAGCTACCATTAGAAATAAAGTGCCACGCCACAGCATGATACGCCCGTCAAAAAATTACACAATTATCTTTAACAGTTTAGAGTGCAAGAAAATCATGTCAACCTTGATTCTAAGATTTCCATGATTTTTCCATTTTTAAAAAAAAATATTTCTTTATCCATCCCCTGTGCTGTAGGCATAATTATAACAAATATTACATAACTGATAAATTTCTATACTGTTTGTGTTAGACTTTGATAAATGCCGGCCATCATAAAAAACAATATCAAATTAGTCTTAACCACTTAATCTATGCCAAATTAATTTTGAAAATAAAGGCTGGCCATCAAATGACAAATGCTATAAACTGACCAGCAGTTCTTCTGTCTAATCCCCAAAGGATACAGATAAGGCAGCACTTGATCAGATAGCCTTCCTACATTGAACTCATTAATTAATCTTTGACTGGATGCTTGTCTACTCATTACTCCCTAAATATTAATGGATCTACACTTTTTATCCTAAAACAGTTTTAAAACATATAAAATTCTCCATGATTTCTTTTTAGATTTAATGCCAGACAGGTTTTATATTTAATTCATTTGGACAGGTAGGCATGCTGATTCAAACCCACCCCATAAAGTTAGTTTTTAATATTATATAATATCAGATTATTAGTTTATTATGCAATATTAAATAAGTTTTAATTACTTTTCATCAAATTCATTTTAAAACTTAGGCTAGCCAACAAGAGCTACTTTTAATCTAACAGCTAGGCTGGCTGTCCATTTGCCCAATACCCAAGGGATATAGATAAAACCAACTAGTTACCTCCTCACACTAAACTCATTAATTTCTCTCTAATTTGACATGCAACTTTCTGCTATCAAAATTCTTCGTGACCAGTGCTTGATAATTATGCCCATGGGACAAACTGAATTCCTCTCATTAACATTGAAATTTGTTTAAGATTGCTGTAAAGTATATGATGAAAAAAATAAGTTTTTACTTGATTTAATACTTTTTAATAAGGATACAACTCTATTTTTTACATTTTTAGGATTATGAAAATTAAAATTTAAAAACTTAGTTTTTTAAAAAATTTCACTAAAATTAAAGGTCACAGTGACCTTGAAATAGGTCGCGACACACCTTCTACCTAAGATGTATACTTTTGCCAAGTTTGATAGCTCTAGCTCTAATAGTTTTCTAGTTATGAGCCGGACAGGATTTTTCCATATTTGGCCATAGCATCTTTATTACAGGTCAGAGTGACCTACATTTTATGCGCGACACACCGTCTACCCAAGATGTATCAGTTGACAAAGTTTGATAATCCTAGGCCTAATAGTATTGAAGTTATGAACCGGACACGAATGGACAGCTAGACAGACGGACGGACGGACATGAAGCCTATAACATAATACGTCCCGTCTTAAGACGGGCGTATAAAAATTGTTTTATTAAGAGGAATTATATACTGAACAGAAGTCTTCATATCAATTTACTGATGACCTCTATATTGCAACAAATTGAAAACATATCAACGTTTTGAAAGTGACCAAAATTGTCAAGTTTTTGAGATATTTCCTTTCTGTTATTAATGTAGTCAGAGACATATTTATGAAGAAAGTTGGTTGCTATGACATCCATCAGATTATCATCATCATACCCTGACAAAAGAAATTTAGCGGTTGTAACCTATCAAAAAAGTTTTGTTGTTCTTATCAATATTTGTGAGTATGGTTAACTCAGTGTTCTCTGAGGAGGGTACCGAGTAACTGTGTGTGTATAATGTAATGACGCTACTTTTTAACGTTAACGTTAACTATTAACGGCGGTCAATCAATGCCTTAATTTTCTCCTTGAATTAAGTTTTTCGGACAAATTGGTGTTATTTTTAAAAAATAGACATCCACAACATATAATCAAAAAAATAAAATTTATTTTTGAGCTGGGGCCGATTTTCGCCAATGGAGCCCCTACCTCTTCATTGGTATGAAAATATTATTCTTGTGTAAAAATATGATCCCTAACTTATTTTGCCCAGTATATAAATATGGCTGCAATTAATGTGCAGAACTGGTAAAGGCTTTGCTTTACTTGTTATTTGTTATAATTTAGGATGCTATTTAGAAACCAGAACAAAACGTTTGTTTTATTACGTTGGTTACATATCTTTAAGTTATAATAGAGCATAAACGTAAATAAAAATATTTTAACATCAATATGATTTACAGAATTGTTTTGTATTTGACTTCTTTTATTGATTCACGCGATGCAACAGATATAAAAATCTGTTGTTATGAAATATGAATATCATGAACGGAAGTAAAGCTGAAAAAAATCTAGTTAACTAAAACAAAGAGCAATGGCCACTTCTGGCCATTTTAGCCCTTAGAATTTCTTAAAAATTAAAACTGCTGAGTTATGGTTGAAGATGCAGTCTTTATCACTTGGACTGTTGGTAACCATGGACAATGTTGTAATTTCCGTCTGATCAATCCATAATGACGTCATAAATTGCATCATTTTCCCAATACTCTTTAAATTCTTTTGAAAAGGGCCTCAATATGAAGTATTTTATTTCACTATTTAACAATATCATATAGAGCACAAAATGAAAGATCTGTTTCGAAAGATGAAAAAGAAACATGTGTAAATTTTTGGATCGTGGGCTGTGCTCTTGTTTTAATTTTTTGCTGAAGAGAGTCAAATTTTAAGAACATTACATATTCTCAAAGCCTGATTTATATTATATAGCTTCTCAAAAAATGTATCTTACAAAATGTAAGTACAAAGTTTCTACTTCTTTATTTTGATATATAAATGGAAGAAGTATGACACTTTAATTATTGTAAGGAGAGGGCCACTTTATGCATAAAGTGCATCAAGCTCTTAGGATCAGAACATGCACGGGGGTCTTAAACTTTTGATGCTATATGGGATCATGGAAGTGTTATTATCCCGTAATGACGTGCCACACCTGCCGTGTTCTGCTAGTACAAATCAAGCAAACAGAAAAATCCATAAAAAATCAGTATGAATAAATATTGTTTATTGATTTGTATGAAAATGTCAATCGACAATCGATTAAACGACAGATTGTGTATCCTGAAAAAGTTCTGGTAACCATTAAAGTTGCTAAGTGTTGACTTTGAAACCAGATTATTGATATCCTTCAAACTTCATGTTTTAAAGATAATCATGCCTAGCGCATGTTCAACTCACCTAAGAAGAGAACCACAACGAGCTAGTTATATTGACCACACAAAAGAAATATTGGAAAACGAAACATTGAAGACATCACGTACAGCATAAAATTACCATCAACGTAATTTATTATTTTCCCCCCAACAAATATCCAAATATGAAACAGACCTGTCCGACTCTTGTTTTTCATTTCGAGTTCAAAGAGACCATGTCAAATCAACGTAGGGATGGTAACAAAGTAATATTTTGTAAAAATGGCGTTGTCATATCTAAAAGTCGAATTAAAGGCAAGAGCAAAGATGTTATTTGACATGAAAGTTTCTGTAAAAAAAATTCCTTCTATTTTGTGAAAAAAAATAGGTTTGTGAATAAGGGGAGCAGGAAGTATCAATGGATATAAATTAGCTATTATTAAGACACTTGATCTTATAAATCAACTTCGGTACTATCAAACACTTAAACATTGGTTTAAAATCAGCGTCGAATTACCTCCTTGTACTTATACAATAAAATGTTTTTTTTAAATTGATTATTGATAATGTGATTCTGTAAATAACCAATAACAAGGTGCATCTACGAGTTAAAATTTTCAAAATTAAATAAACATAATAGTCGTATAACATAATATTCACTTTTTCAGAAATCAATTATCTATTTACACAGAACTTGTATTGTACAGCAAGTCAAAGAAAAAAAAAACAACTAAGTACTGCTATTAAAAATAAAAAATGATACAGAATGTTATATGCCCCTTTACTTACCCTGTATACCAGCAATAAACAGTAAGAGGGAATGAATGTAAAATGACATTGTACTCACAAAGGTCGTCTGTTTAAGGATTGAAGTACTTTAGGTCAAATTATCACATGTTTGATAGAATATTTATCTCTGCGTTAGACTAAGTAACTAATTGAGATAAGAACACTCTTCAAACTTCAATCTTATTTATTAAGGTTATCATGAGGTTTTGTTTCCATACTAAACTATCCCAACTACCGTTATGTAATATCCAATTTAATGTGTTATCACAGGATGCTGTCTTAAAGAGATTTTTTTTATTCCTTAATCTCAAAATATTTCTTAAACGTTTGTGATTGATTTACTACACAATATTATTTGAAATTCCAAAATGAATTTACTTTTTACCAAATTTGCAGTTATACACGTTTTTATATTAAAATATATATATATATATATATATATAATTATTAATAACAATGATTAGATAAAATGATGAATTTTGAATGAATGGTTGAGATTGCAGTATTTACAATAGATGTTTTTATTAAAGCTACTACGAGGGTTGTACGAAAAGTTCGTGGACATCTCTTATATATTTTTTATTTGACGTCATATGTTATCTAAATTTGATAAAATTATTTTTACAATAAATTCAAATTATTGGAGTGATTCTTTTTAAATATCACAATTTATTTAAAACTTATCTGGATTTTAATAAATGCACAAATCTGGTCGTGGAGCAGGTCAGATTTAGTAAGTTACAAACAAATACACTAAATATTGTATATGTAGTTATTCTCTCTGTCAAATGAAAAACAAAAAAGAAAAACAGCCTAGAGTAATTCAGAATCGTCTGAAGCGGAATCAGAAGCCAAATTATGACTTGATATTTTGCTTGGTTGAAGAAGAAATCAACTTGAGAAGATAGGCAGTCCGTATTGAAAAAAGACAAAAAATAATGATGTTTTAGAACCTAACGGAGCAGCAGAAATGAAGTTAATTGATGTTTCCTATATCGAATGGAATTCATGGAATGACACTTTACACATTCAACTTTACAAATATTTTACATATTATATTGTGCTTATTTTAAATTTCTATTGAGTAATATAACGAAGATTGAGACCTCCACCAACTTTCGAACAACTCTCGAAGTAGTCCCCAATTTAAGATTTGGTGTTTGAAAATAAACACTTATCTTTTAAGGGCATTAATGTCATATATAATTTTACCTTTGACATCATGAACCTGACCTCTGCTCATATCTGCTCATATCTTTAAAGGGCACCTAGTGTATATACTAAAGAAAAAAAGGAATACGAATGATTTTCCGAATATCAATCATATCTCTGGCTCTAGCTACATATTTAGGTAAATGTGCAATGGAATCATAAAACCATTCTTTATTTCAGAGTTATATGCTGGGTAGTGTACAGTAATATCTGGATGAATTACTTTCAGTTCCAGAAATTCTTGAATTTAAATTTTCTTTTCAGATAAAACTTAAATCGTGTCTTAATACTTGAAGTTCATTTTAAGATATAAGATATGCTGAGGCCTACTGTCCGGACAACTGGAGAGAATTTTCCGGGGATTGTTATCTTTTCCTCACCCACCTTCCAATGAACTGGCAAAGTGCTTGGGTAAGTTTACCTCTCTCCTTTGATCCATAACTTGTCTTTTTAAATATTTAAATCCTTAAAAAGAAATAAAATGTATTTGCTGACAATTGCAGAAAGTCGTCCATACAGCATTTAATTACTTTTTTGTCAGTAGCTTGTCCCCTTTCTTTAATTGTTCAGACGTGGCGTACATGTATATCCTTGCGTATCGAATTAACTGGAAGACATATACAAGATATTGATAAGTTGCTACATAATGCATGTATGTCATAAAGTTTTGTTTCCATTGACGCCTTTTAGTAAAATACTTAACATGAAAATGATGTGTCAGACGCTGTGATATATTTTATATTGATTTTAAACGGATATATAGAATTAAAGTAGAAATTAATATGTATACATACATGTATTGTTAAAAGATACGAAGTCAAAAACTATATTCAAATGAATAATTGAAAACCTTAGCACAAAACTATGTGTTTATGTGGATAATTTCAATGAATATGGTCTCAGATGAATAGAAAAAATAAGTGCTTAAACTGTGTATCCATGGAAGTTTCTTCCGGTTGTTGGAAAACTTTATCGCAAAAAAAGTACTCGCCGGTAAAGCATAAACTTAAGATTTTTATTAATATTAAGTGATCATTAAAAATACCCTAGTTTTATTGTATTGCCTTTTTGTTTGATGAATTTTCCTTAAAGAACACACCTTTCTATGTTTGATTTAAAGTGCATTTACAGAGCAATACATGTTATTTCCAATTCATTAAGGGTCCTCCACATCATGTGACTTGTGACGTATATAGAGAAAAAATACTTTTACTTCCGGTTCGATCGAGTTTCTACCTAACACCGTTTGTAAACAATGAACATATGGCATGATCACGGAATGACCGATGGAAAAGGTTGTGCGGTTTTTTGTAAAATAAAAGAACAACAGACGTCTTGGATTATGTTACATAATAATTCGTAAACAACAGGTACCGGTGGATATGACGAGAAACGTTTAGATTATTTATCCTTTCAGGCTAATCAACCGAGACTGTTTTGATAGTTGAAATTTCGGCACACTAATTTGTGCGTTTCAATAATAATTATCTCATTGTTGTTTATAAATATTGATAAAATAGTGTGTGTTTCTAGTTTTCTTCTGTTATATTTGTCCAGTTCAGTGGCCAGTAATTACTATATATTATAAAGTTTTTGAGTCCCGGGCAACAGGAAAGATAACTCCAAAAAGGAACTTTGATACCAAAGATTCGGAAAATGGTTTTTCTACATCAGTGCATTTAATTTTAATTCAATTTTTTGATGAAATCTAATTCATTAATGTTTCTTCTCCACAACAGGAGTCCTGTTGATTTTTCTCGAAATGTACTTCAGAGAAAATGAGTTTTATGTACTTTTTATAAATAAAATAAATTTCTGTAAAAAATATGTTGATCGATAAAATTAAGTTTTTAGCTCACCTGAGCCGAAGGCTCAAGTGAGCTTTTCTGATCACATTTTGTCCGTCGTCCGTCCGTCCATCTGTCTGTCTGTCCGTCTGTATACTTTTCACATTTTTGACTTCTTCTCAAGAACCACTGGGTCAAATTTGACCAAACTTGGTACAAAGCATCCTTGGGTAAAAGGAAATTTAAATTGTTAAAATGAAGGGCTAAGTCTCCTCACAAGGGGAGATAATCAAGAAAAGACAAAAAAAGGGTGGGGTCATTAAATCTTCTTCTCAAGAACCACTGGGCCAGAAAAGCTGAAACTGATGTGGAAGCACCCTGGGGTAGTGTAGATACTAAATTGTTCAAATCATGACCCCCGGGGATAGGGCGGGGCCTCAATGGGGCATCAAAGTTTTACATAGATATATATAGGAAAAATCTTTGAAAATCTTCTTTTCAAGAACCACTGGGCCAGAAAAGCTGAAACTGATGTGGAAGCACCCTGGGGTAGTGTAGATTCTAAATTGTTCAAATCATGACCCCCGGGGGTTGGGCGGGGCCACAATGGGGCATCAATGTTTTACATACAAATATATAGGAAAAATCTTTGAAAATCTTCTTCTCAAGAACCACTGGGCCAGAAAAGCTGAAACTGATGTGGAAGCACCCTGGGGTAGTGTAGATTCTAAATTGTTCAACTCATGACTCCCGGGGGTAGGGCGGGGCCACAATGGGGCATCAATGTTTTACATAGAAATATATAGGAAAAATCTTTGAAAATCTTCTTCTCAAGAACAACTGGGCCAGAAAAGCTGAAACTAATGTGGAAGCACCCTGGGGTAGTGAAGATTCTAAATTGTTCAAATCATGACCCCAGGGGGTAGGGCAGGGCCACAATATGTATTACAAGGGGGAAATCTGGTAAAGAACAATATGACAAAAGATTTTCAGGTGAGCGATGTGGCCCATGGGCCTTTTGTTTTTTACATCTAGAAGGAAAGAATATCTATATAAATCCCCAAAACAATCATGTTTTGATTTTTTAAGTCTATAAAAATCTTTTAAGGCTGTTATTGGTTGATGTGAAATATATTCTGTTACTATCATATGAAATGCTATACTTTCACATCCTTTATAAAATGTTATTCTTTGTAGCGATGTCTGTGTTCAGTCTATTGTTTTCTGTTATGTTCAAAACCCTGTAAAACTGTATGAGTATTTCATGTGTATGGGAAAGATTTTAATATTTGAGGAAAAAATATATATTTCTGAAGCATTTGTTAAATGTTGAATACCTCCTCAGGTAGAATAAGCCCTGTAGATTCATCTTAATACAACTGCTTGATTTGTTTGTATGCAATGGTTTGAGAATTGTGATATCCTATAGCTGCTAATCATTGACTGTGATATTTTATATATACCATCATTTACTGTCATAATAATAATATTCAGTTAAGACTTTGTCATTTTGAGTACAACACAAAGAAATATGTTAATTTATGTGTCAACTGCTTTTGTGAATAGTCATTTTAAATAAAAATTTGAATGATTGAAAGTTTTTTGTCTTTTACCAGAATAGTTGAAACAATGAAGGAGTTTCTTCATTGTGCTGTTTAAGGCTACCAGACATACACAAAAGTGAAATGGACATTCAAAAGTGAATGAAATACAGTATAACCTATTAGTTCAAACCCTCAGTGTTACTATTGTTAAAATTAACAAAACTCAAAGTCGTTAATGTTGTATTAGACATCGATTAATTTTTGAAATTTCTTATTGCACTGTTAAAGTTTCCATGTAAAGGAGGATTTTTTTAAATCACTTTACAGCTTTCAGTTCTTTGAATATTCCATTAAAAGAAATCGAATCTGATTTACCGCAGCTGCACTACCTTCAAAACTTTTAAAAACAAACCCCTTAAATCAAAGGTACCAGTACATTACAGGATCCAGTAAATGTGCGACTAAGCCTCCATATCTTAATCCCTCACAAAACATTAACTGCTGTGGAGAACTACAGAATAATCGAAAAGTGTTTTTTATCTCACCTGAGCCAAGCCTCAAGTGAGCTTTCCTTATCACAATTTGTCCGTTGTCTGTCGTCGTCGTTGTCGTTGTCGGCGTTGTCGTCGTTGTCGTCGTCGTTGTTGTCGTTGTTGTAAACTTTTCACATTTTCATCTTCTTCTCAAGAACCGCTGGGCCAATTTCAACCAAATTTGCCACAAAGTATCCTTGGGTGAAGGGGATTCAGGTTTGTTCAAATGAAGGGCCTCGTCCTCATTCAAGGGGAGATAATTGGGAATTAATGAAAATTTGGTGGTATGTTTTAAAAATTTTCTTCTCAGGAACCACTGTGCCGGGAAAGTTGAAACTTATAGGGAAACATCCTAAGGTAGTGTAGATTCAAGTTTGTTCAAATCATGACCTCCAGAGATAAGGTGGGGCCAAAATGGCCGACGAAAGTTTAACATAGAAATATGTAGGAAAATTCTTTAAAAATCTTCTTCTCAAGAACCACTGTGCCAAGAAAGTTGAAACTTATCAGGAAACATCCTCAGGTAGTGTAGATTCAAGTTTGTTCAAATCATGACCCCCGGGGGTAGGGCGGGGCCACAATGGCCGACCAAATTTTTACATAGAAATATATAGGAAAATTATTTAAAAATCTTCTTCTCAAGAATAACAAAGCCATAATTGATCATATTTATATGGAAGCATCTTTAGGTAGTGTAGATTCAAGTTTGTTCAAATCATGACCCCCGAGGTTAGGGCGGGACCACAATGGCCGACCAAAGTTTTACATAGAAATGTATAGGAAAATTCTTTAAAAATCTTCTTCTCAAGAATAACAAAGCCATTATTGATCATATTTATATGGAAGCATCTTTAAGTAGTGTAGATTCAAATTTGTTCAAATCATGGCCCTCGGGGGTAGGGCGGGGCCACAATGGCCGACCAAAGTTTTACATAGAAATATATAGGAAAATTCTTTAAAAATCTTCTTCTCAAGAATAACAAAACCATGATTGGTCATATTTATATGGAAGCATCCCCAGGTAGTGTAGATTCAAGTTTCTTCAAATCATGACCCCCGGGGGTAGGGCGGGACCACAATGGCCGACCAAAGTTTAACATAGAAATATATAGGAAAATTCTTTAAAAATCTTGTTCTCAAGAATAACAAAGCCATTATTGATCATATTTATATGGAAGCATCTTTAAGTAGTGTAGATTCAAATTTGTTCAAATCATGGCCCTCGGGGGTAGGGCGGGGCCACAATGGCCGACCAAAGTTTTACATAGAAATATGTAGGAAAATTCTTAAAAACTCTTCTTCTCAAGAACCAATGTGCCAGGAAAGATGAAACTTATGGGGAAACATCCTCAGGTAGTGTAGATTCAAGTTTGTCCAAATCATGACCCCCGGGGGTAGGGCAGGACCACAATGGCCGACCAAAGTTTTACATAGAAATGTATAGGAAAATTCTTTAAAAATCTTCTCCTCAAGAATAACAAAGCCATTATTGATCATATTTATATGGAAGCATCTTTAAGTAGTGTAGATTCAAATTTGTTCAAATCATGGCCCTCGGGGGTAGGGCGGGGCCACAATGGCCGACCAAAGTTTTACATAGAAATATACAGGAAAATTCTTTAAAACTCTTCTTCTCAAGAATAACAAAGCCATAATTGATCATATTTATATGGAAGCATCTTTCGGTAGTGTAGATTCAAGTTTCTTCAAATCATGACCCCCGGGGTAGGGCGGGGCTACAATGGCCAATCAAAATTTTATTTAGGCATATATAGGAAAATTCTTTAAAAAAAAAACATCTTACGAAGAATAGCAAAACCATAATTGGTCATTGGACTACTTTCGGATTTAAAGCATTTAATTATAAACCAATTTCTACTTTTTCTTAGCCACAGTGCTCAGGTGAGCGATGTGGCCAATGGGCCTCTTGTTATGGTTATTATGTGAGCTTAAAAATATACGAAAGGGTAAGACAAATTTTTTTGTGCTAGGTATGAAAACGCCTTGGGAAAAATTTCTTATAACTTGTGAAATAATTATTTCAAAAAATCAGTATAAATTACATTTTATTCCCTGGACAGTTTTTAAAGGTTGATATGCTTGTTAAAAGTAATGCTCAATAATATGAGAGCATAACCTGTGGGTGTGTGGAGGACCCTTAATATGTCTTTGTTTTACACAGGATTACTGTGCACACCGAGGTGCAAAGTTAGTAGAAATAGAAGATGTTTCTGAGGACAACTTTATCATACAAAACGCAAAAGATTTTCATATTGGTGGTAAGTTAATTAAAGTTAATCAAATTCAAAAGTCATCACTGTAACAAAGTTTTCAAAGTTATAAAATATTACGCCAAAGTAATCACTATAATTATGATCGTGTCAACGACATCATTATAGTAAATCGTCGTTTCCAAATCGGTTGTTATCACTAGAGTAAATGAAAGAGCCAAACTAAATCATTCTGTCTGAATTATCACAGTTGCAAATCAAATACTAGTAATCAAGTAATTATGAAAGTGTATTTTATTTTTTTTTTGCAACTGAAAAAAAAAACAGGGAAAAAACAGGGAACATGAATTATCTTTTTAAAGATCAGTTCATATTCTTATGGTCGTCCCCGAGCCTCGGTCGTAAGAGAGTTTGTTCTCGGATTGAAGAGGTTCGACTCTGACGTTGCGGGTTAAAGTTCGTCAACAAATTGAGATTCCGTGTCGCAGTAGATGCTGGCACAAAACAAGATTCCTTTTTATATGTATACATACTTCAAGGACCTACATGTAAATGTCAAGTACATGTCTAACTTCGCAGCCCTTCAACGGCATGTGGTAGAATCTCGATATGAATGAACTATTCTTGAATGGGTGTTAAGCAGACCCATAAACAAGCAAACAAATGCATTTCTAAAAATTGTAATATGCATGTACCCTTTAGAAATATGTGTAGGGTTCTGTTTGGTTATTATACAAAATGTATAATATATGCGTTATTTCCATGACTTGTAAATTCTTAAATACTTTAAATAAGAATTTTCAAGGAATATATTTAAGCCTAAAACAATTAAAATGAATGATTTTAACGAGGTATCCTCTTTATGTTTTAATAGACTGTTTTTGGTTGGGTGGATCTGATGCAGAGCTCCCAGGAGTATGGATGTGGTCAACTTCACGTACAATGTTGATGTACACCAACTGGGCGCCAGGCGAGCCTAATCATCATCAGTCCGATAACGAGCACTGTCTGGATCTCCTTTACTATGCCGGATATAATGACGCATACTTCTGGAATGATGAATATTGCACACGACTTTGTCATCCTATTTGTGAACAACCGTATAAAAAGAATAATTTCTACTTTTCCTATGTTTAATACAAATTATATATGTATCATTTTTGTAATAATTTTGCTAAGCACAATTTTTAATAGATGATATGCAGATTGCTTTATTTTGGAAAAGATCAGTTTAAATTTTAGGATATTATTTTGAAAATTGATTTATTTCCATAAGAAATACTTTACTCTTGAAAATATTTTGTTTCACCTTCCTTTCTGTAGGAGTGTCCCCGAAGGTTCAATAATTGGATGAAGATACTGGATGCGTATAATACCTTGCCAAAAGTTATTAAATCAATAAGTTTTGGTAGATTAAATCATTTAATTCAAACATTTACTCTTATCTGTCCAAACGGTACAATGTAATAACCGATGATCTAAAAAGCTCAGTTCATTTCTCTGCCTATGTAGGGTTTATTTTCCAATGTATTTTACATTTCTAAGTAAATGTAACAAAAGTCAAAAAATTGGTTGCAATTAAGGTAGTCCGCTTCTTTGGATTATAAAAGTAGCAGTTTAGTTATCAAAAATACTCATAAAAGTAACTCTGAATCCACAAAGTTATGTAAATTTATCCACAGTATTTCTTTAAAGTTGAAGATTAAAGTTAATCATGTTAAATAGGGAAAATTGTCAAATCTCCAATATTTTTGCAGAAAAAGGCGAATTGGAATATCAGCAAATATATTTTAGTTTAAAAAACAATAGGTATCCAGGTATTCAGAGAAATTTTCATGTTTTTGATACTTATTTGGTATATTTTTCGTCTTTTATTTCCGTCATGTATTCTAAAATACATATATAGTGTAAAAGGCATTTGCTATCATTGCAAGACATCACAAATAATTTCTTATTTCATATCATATGCTAATAAGCTTTGGTATCTAAGGCTGAATTCAAGAAAATCTTATTTCTCAAAAACTGCATTTCTTTTAACCTTTTATAGGGTACACATGCCAGCATTAAAAAGACCTTTTCGAAGACTTCCAAAACCCTTGAATCTTATAAAGATGAATAAAATGAAAATTGTTGCATTAACAAAATCAAAATTCAAGCTTCATTTTGATGCACTTCAAATTAAATATTAATTTTTTGGAGTTATCCTTCCTGGTTGAGGATCGGATATCCTTAAAAAAAACTTCAAAAGTTTACAGTTATTGTTAAACTTTTTTGTTGACAAAAAGAACTTTATGTTCCGGAATTTCCGGACAAAAAAGAATACCATAAAAGCATTTATATGAATTTTAGTTTCGTTGTTAAAAACAAAGATGCAGAAGTTGAACATTACACCAAATGCTTTAAGGCATAATTTTTGTCCATACAGAAAATTCGCTCTTTACATTATTTGAAAAAATCAAAAAAAAATATATAGAAAATTTTCGAGAGTACATACAAAAATATTAAAGTGTAAAAATAAAAAGAAACGTTTAATGATTACGTAAGTTATTATGTTTTATACTTAAATTACCACTGGCCTGACTGGGAGACATTAACCTACAATACATGTAAAGCATATACTTAAAGAAGTCAGTTTTCCCCTGTTATCTAAAAGTAATAGTGCTTTTAGAAGCTAGATTTTGCTAAAAGTTAAAAATTCTATTTTCTGGGCTAGATTGGTTGTTTAACTCAAATGGGAAGAAGAAATCCTGACGTATAATAAAGACGCGGCGTGCGTAATGAAACATAGATATTTATTATAAAGTTGAATTCCAGTTTCGCAGCCAGGTTAAGGGCATCTATAGGTAATATCCTCCAGTATTAAAAAATTCCGTCACCATAAGCGGAAAACACCCCGCGTTTCTCTTCAAATTATTCTTTGATTTGCTTCTTGTTTGCTTCACGTAGTAATAAACTTTCACCGTGTTTTAGTGTTTAACAAAACAAACTTGTACAATATGTCAAGGTATGAAAGTAAAATTTTTCCCTGTTAAACTTTTCTTTAATCTTTATACCTAAAAATATTTTTAAGATTTCAGATGGTATTGAACTTTTTTTTTAGAAAGGCATAAGCAATACATACAAATAACGTTAATATAACGCAGTTCATACATAAAATGTCTTGCTTATGTTACATCAAATAGTGTAGTTCATTCAGGCAATTGTATACAAAATATATAATATATTTTACATGTGTAAGTCGTATTCAAAATGATATGCCATGCCAATTTTTTGTAATAGACCTTTATAAATATAACTGACAGGTAAAGATGAGTATATTGAAGCACCTGTAGAAGAAATCGATGAATAGCGGATAAGGGAAAAGGTGTTTACTGATTTAAAGGGTCGTGGCCATTTTCAGACTAATTTGACCTCCTTTAGAGGAAGAGTTCCATATAAAGAGATCAAAATTGATCAAAATTTAAACCTCTAATGTATGAATTTTTTCTATGACAAATGATAGTTGACAGCTTAAGATATCATAGCTAAAAATTAAGTTAAATCCTGTTGGTTAATTTGTTGACCTCCAGGCTCCTTAGCATAAAATTTGATACCTGAAATAAAATAAGTTTAAATTTTATTTCTTCTGACACATTGTTGAACCTAAATATCATAGTAACTTGGAATTTGATCGTCGATGTTCAGCTTGCTAAAATGACGTCACAATCGCATGCGTTTACAATCAGCGCAGAGTTTCCAGAAAGTGAATGAGTAATGTTAATAGAAGTAACGGAGTTAAGGGGTTTGGCGGTAATCTATGAACTGGATGGCCAAGATTATTTTGCAGATTAAACCAAACCGTAGTATAACAAAAGACAAAAGTCTATAGATTTTGAACAATTTTAATGGGAAAATAACATGCATTTTGAAGTGATCATAACTATAAATACATGTATTATGCAAACAAACAAAACAATTACGCTTTTTGACATTGTTGAGAGATGTGTGGGTATATCCAAGTGTGCACAGACTTACCACCGATCCAATAGTCTCCTGTCGGTAGGTATTTAAACAAAATCAAAACTTTTATTACTTTGGGGTTGCACCTAAAGAATTCGAATTTTCAATAATTAAATTGATTGTTTACATGTAAAACCAAGGATAATTAAGGACGGATGATGCAAACATTTTATTTTTGGAGGAGACTTATTATCATATCACAAGTTTAGAAAAGTTGATAATTTTTAGAATTTTTTCTCCAAAGAACAGGAAAATGGAATTGACTTGGAAAATATAAGAAATAATTCAATTAAATTACAAATATGGACGAAACACATTCAGTAAAGGTTTACAATTGGAAACAAATTTTACAATATGTTACCTTGGTGCTAAATGTGCAATATAAACTCTAAATAAGTATACCAATCCTTATAAAGAATTTACCCAAAAATTATCGAACACAAAAACACACCTGAAAAACACTCAAAAATGACACAAAATAAAGTAATTCAATATTCTATCGACAATAAAAGAACTGGGTTTTTAAACTCTCGCTACCAAAACACTTGACTGCTCACACAGGTAAGTGAAACACGTGAATGTAAACTAAGGTTATATTTAGGTCACTGATTAACAAGAATACTTACAAAATACCCGCTAAGAATAAATTCAAAAATGAAATATACGAGGGTTGTCCCAAAATTTCGTAGACTGAGCTCATATCTTTTAAAGAAATTAATGTATCTTTATAACATTTTCAGGGTGGATAAAGCTAGTTATTGGTAGATAAATTACGAAGTTTTATCATGTTTGCTCGAAAACTTTTCGAGTTATAGGATTTAAAGTGATATCGTTCTCTTACACCCGGAGCAATCTGCAACGTCAAAAAATACAAATGTCAACGGTTCAAATTTTGGAGAAAATATTTCAATTACCAGAATCAAATTCTTAAATAAAACGAAACGGCTATAATTATAAATGTAAAAAATCTTAATTACTATGATATGATATGATAGTAATGTAAACAAAGTATATGCATGTACAGGTATGAAATAATTATTATTTGAAAACGCTATATTTCTACGGGCTTTTCGTCTGTTTTCTCTAATGGAGTTGCACAATGGAACTCTTGTCCATTTCTTAGTCCTGTCTTTTATTTAAGTTACTGTTATTCACATATACATAGAGAAACCGTTTTAGTCATTTTAAATACTAAGGACGAGAAATAGGTTCCTAGTCTACCAAATATTTATGACTGGTACATTTTTGTAAGAGTTAATTTAGGTTCAAAACACATGAACATACTTCAGTGCGCCGCCTGTGCTAATGCTTTTTTTTTCAAAAAGTCGGATTTCAACTTCATGTTTATAAAACGTTATAAAATTCATATTTATCAAGGCACAAACACCAAAATTTGAAGAAATATAGTTAATAAAACAGTACTGACAATTTTCACTTCCATTCAAAAATCACAGGGTAGTAATCACTTTTCCGTACGATTCTAAATATAATATACCAAATTTTAATAGCAACTTTTGGGTATTGCGCCGCCTTCCTACACCAGACAAAGAAATGTGTCTTTTAAATTGGAATAATTTGTGTAGTTACTCCATATTTGTCCATAAATTTATTAGATAGTGTTGGTTTAATCTATATACGAAGTTTCATTAATGTATGACTTAGGGTTCCTACAAAACAACGCTTGTTTATGGCATTTTGGGACAACCCTCGTACATGTACCATGGTCTGCTCTCCAAGCCTTTTGTTAAAACGTAGGTTCTGTACGTTGCATACTGCAAAATATACTGACCCTGCAGCAAACTCGACTGCCCTCTAATGTACGTGTTACTCACACAGCAGCTCATCCGGGAATGTCCCAGTGACAATTCTATCACGTGATTTTTTCAACGACAAAAAACTATGGGGAATTATTGTTACAGTCTACCTGCTACACAAGTGGTTGTCACAAACGGCAGTTGATCTTTAAAACTTCAAAAGAATTTTTCATGCAGAAAATGGGAAATGCAGATTATGATCATTTCTATTTTGATACGCAAACAAAAGTCTGAAAAATTAATGGAGAAAAATGTTTAAGGAAGCTCTAAACACTAACAGAAACTGTTTTTGTCTTTTGGACTCAGAGAAAAATAAATCGTATAAAGATATGCATATTGAGACTTTTTCATTCATTTAGAACATAGGGAACGAGCCTTATTTGCGCAGGAAAAATGTTGAAAGACAATGACTATTTGTTAGCTGTAAACACTGTTGGTAACTTACATTGGGAAAATCAATGAAAATTATTATTTAAATTTCTTTCTCTTGGTCTTATATAATGCTATTAATATTTTAATATATTTTGATTTATTAAAGAACGAGGGCGCATTTGATTGGCATTCGGCAGGAATGTGGGCGTAGTTGAAAAGTGAAAACTTTATCGCATGTCACATGAAATTTTAACTTTTTTTTATTTATCGGGTTCCTGTGCAACAGGAAAGGAAAATATTTCTCCCGAAATTAAGCTTTGATTTGTTGAAAAATAACTTGAAAATTGTCCAGATCAGACATTTGGTACAAAATGGTACATTTTTAAACACGTTATTCTAAAAATTTTCTATCTCTGGGTCTTCTCTCCATGATTTTTAAACGTTATTTGTGTGTATTTTAATTCAAAGAAACAAATACACGTTTTTAAAAAATGGAGAGAAGACCCAGAGACCATGAAAAATGAACTTTTCCCCCCAAAATCCAAATGTGTAAATGTGGTGCTTCTTTGTCCTTTTAAAATCACCTGTATATGTGTAACGGTGATAGCTCAGTAAGTTTGGCTACCTGTTCAGACAGTGCACTAAATCATAATAATTTTTGGTTCGAGCCTTGCATGGGGCGTTAATATTTTTTTTCATGCAAACAACCATTTATTTTGTCAGTTTCGTTTTAATTACTGGTGTATTAAACTTTTGAATTAGATATATTTTGGTTCAGTTTGGTTCTCGAGCGGAATTAATTCCAATCTTCTATTCTATATTTAATGTACATGTACACGTATCATGCATCTATACATTAAATATTTTAGGTGTTAATTTTTTGTGAAACATTAATATGTCATAGTACTCCTAGGAAAACGGACATAAATGTTACAAAGTCTTTCAAACTAAATGAAAAAAGTAAAAAACAAAAAAACAAAAACAAAACCTATGGATGTGTTTGTAAAATCTGACCAGCTATGTTCAGCCAACCAAATCATGGACATTTAAACCATAAATGTTTCGTACAAATGATTACTGCAGATCACACGCCAAATGCGCCCATCTGCTTTATGTAATTAACAGTAAATAACAATTTCTTTTATCTTACATCGAAGGACAGATAACTCTAATTGCATAAACCTAATCGATAAATTAAGCTCCTTACTATGCAGTGTTTAGAGCGTATTCTGAGAGTATTGCATCAGATAACATGTACCCTATCGGGTTCTTCTTTTTCTTTAGGATGTCTTTTTAAAATATGCAAAAGTCATGACAGAGGTAAAACTGCTATATGTTAAAATTTTGAGGTTGTGCATGCCTTTAACCTGAAAAAAAAATAGTCCAGAAAAAGACGAGAATCAATATTATTTTTTCAACATCTTTTTTTTCGCTCCGTATTTACCATTTTGAATTTTGTAATTTAACACAGCACGAACCCGATCTTAAACCATTTTGAAAAATTTAAAATGTCGTAATTCTGTCAAAAAACAATGACGTGAAACGACATTCAAACTTGATCTGAACGTAACTCATCAAGGTACACTCACATACCAAAATGTAGGACAATATCTACAAGCGTTCAAAAAAGTGCGGAAAACCGATTGGGACAGACTGACAGACAGACGGACGGACGGACATACGCAGAGGAAACATATAGTCCTCTCCAGTTTCACCGGTAGGGGACTAATGGGTGCAATATCAGACGTTGAACGTACGTACATGAATAATAATGATTTGAACTGTTGAATAAATTCTGCTTATTTTACCTTAACATTCTATGATTGTTCATTTCTTTTCAACCGTTCACGGTAACATAATGGTAGAGCGTTCGCTTCCTGATCGGGAGGCCCGGTTTCGATTTTCGTTCCCGGCGCCGAGTCAAACCTAAGACGTAAAAATAAGTAGCGACTGTTCCTTCGCCAAGCGCTTGGCATCAGAAGTGAAAGTCACGGATCTTTCGGATGTGACCTTTAAAAAACGTAGATCCCGTGTCACGGTAGGCGCTGGCACGATTAAGAACCCTCACTGCTCAATAGCCCTGAGTACCGAGTATAGGTCTAAATTTGAAGCCCTTCACCGACATACGGTGACGTATCCATATGAGTGAAAAATTCTCGAGAGGAACGTTAAACAATATACAATCAATCATTTTTTAATGTAGTTTACGTTTGTCTTAGACCAACTTTAAGCACTTAAAAAAAAATACTGCGTCAAGATAAATAACATGCGCAATCCTCTTAAGTAGCCCATTCCACCTCCGGAATTTCCAGTTGTTCACGATTTATTTATTCTTACCTTATTTGCATTATTCATAGATTTCTTTCTTAAAAGATCACTATTTTTCATGCTTACTCTTTTCAATATAGAAGTTTTAGAAAAATCCACCAATAAAAGAAATCTATTAAAAGTAATCGTTGAAAGAATCCATTGATTTATTGAGTTGTCAAACCAAAAGAAAACTCTGAGTTGTTCGCGAGAACGCTATCCAATTACCTCCCCTGGAATTCTGAAAAAAAAACAAAAAACTCATCATTTTTAGGATAACTGTATCCTATCCGTAACTCTGAATTAAAGGAGATTATTATCTTTCAAAAACAAAATCAATTATTATTCAAATTCTTATTTCAAGTGTAGGTTCAAATTCTATAAATATATGTCCTTTTTTAACTTGATATGTTATAGTCTTTTAAATATACATGTATTTCCCAAAAATGGTTATCAACCTATAACAAACCTATATAAAAAAAACATGAAAACATGTTTGATGTAAAGAATAAATGTCCCTAAAAGATCTAGAAGTATATTGAATTACCCTCGGATTAATATTTCAAATAACATTTCTATTTTAATTACAAATTACCATTTTTTAAATACAAATTACAAATTTCTTAAAGACTTGGAACGATAAAGTAGGGGATATGAGACAGAGATGGGGTAATCGTAATCAGTAATCGTAATCAGTTGTAATCGATTACAGTTTGCCAAGTAATCATGAGTAATCAGTAATCACCCATTTTTCTGATTACAAGTAATCGTAATTTAATCGATTACTGTGAAAAAAGTCCAGTAATCATGATTACTTTTTGATTACTTTATGATTACAATTTTGAAAACAAACTTCATAAAATCATGATTTTTGATAAGCTATATTTAATTATCTTCCCTAATGTCTCCAGAAATGCTTATAATCAAGTCCATTGTCCTGGCAATGAGTAAATTCTATCAGTTCCTTGCTATATTCGGTATTCATTTCAAAATACATTAGCAGCTTAGCAATTCGCTATTTTTGACAAGATATATGCATATACTGATAGAAAATTACTACAGGATCATTTTAAAGTTTGATTTATTTTGTTTCAAATTTAATGAACATGTGTGTAATGCAACAATTTGTTTTCCCTGTAAATCTTTGAAAAAACTTGTATTTTTTTTAATAGCAAATGTTCTTTTACTGAGACATATTCTAAAATTCACTTTGTTTGATTTACAGTGTACATGAAAAGATAATGTGAATTAATTAGTCATAAGACTCAGATATACTAAAGTTGGGTCAGCTTGGGTAATAGTAATTATTTAACTATCCATGTTTGTCCAGTCAATGTGTTAATTCTTGTAAAAACAGCTAATAATTTGCAGTTTAATTGAAAAGTCTATCACTCGTCGAGAAGGTCAATTACTTGTGTAACAGTTCCCTATCAAATCCCTACCTATAATTATGTCCAGTTTGATTTATAAAAAAAACTATGATAAATTCTTTTTTCTATTTCTCTCAACAGTAACAAGATATTTACTTGTATTAAAGATAGAAACCAGGTGATATAAGATAAATCTCATGTATCTATATAAAGACATATACAACCAATCTTTGTCTGAATTCTACCCTAAAAATATTAATGGAATTTAAAAAAAGATGAATAAAAACATGCCGTTGTCCTTGAATATTAAACCAAAAAAAAAAAAAAACTTAATGTAATCTAAAGTAATCATAAGTAATCATGATTACATGAAGGAAAAGTAATCAGATGTAATTGATTACTTTAAAAAATGTCTGTAATCAGCTTGTAATCGATTACTTTTAAAACCCAAAGTAATTGTAATTTAATCGATTACTTTTGAAAGTAATCGACCCCATCCCTGATATGAGATTTTGAGGGTGGAGATAATGTCTAGACTGTGATATGCGCTGGTTGGACACATTTTTTTCTTCTTAATTTTCTATTTAAATTGAAATAAACGTAAGACATTTCTATCTTCCTGGCATCTAATGACTTCAAAATAGATGTGAAAAGGGGCTTTCATATTTCACTTGTGTAATCATTGTGAAGACTTTGATGGGTATAAAACTTTTAATCTCAGAGTTTGACTTACGCTTCAAAAATTCTAACCATGACCAAGACGTTTGAACAGGTAAGACAAGGGTTTTAATTTTTCACGGGTGTTTTTTTTTTGGCTAATACTTTGATGCCAACATTTTGGAACCTGACCCTGGAGTTTGACCCTCATTCGAAGAATTTAAACTTTAAAAATAAAAAAAATAAATAATATTAATAAATAATAAAAAATTCACATTTAAAATTTTAAACCATAAGTTTTGAACAGTTATTGCTGGGGCTTATATAAATCAGACTTTTAAGACAATGCCTTCCCCTGGGTACCATTAAGTTGGATTCTTGGAGCTTGGAGTAAATTTCTTCTGCCTTAACTTTTGAATAGATGGTGCTTGATGTTTTATGTTTCATGGATATAAAATTCAATAACATTTGTTTTATTGAATCTTTATTTTAACCAGTAATTGAGAAAATTAATCTTAATTGTTTTCCATCAGCTACCATAAGGGGCATCATTGTTTCACAAAACTATCATGTTTATTCTTCAATAAAAATTTGTTTGTATAGGTTTTTTGAAAACACAGTGATATAGCAAAGTATGATACTGAAACTGATGACGTAGTACGCAGAAAAATGACGTTATAATATTCTTGCGCGTTAAAAAGCCTCTCGTTATTATGCTTTGTTTTATGGATAAATATTATTGAATTGATCTCTAAAGTTTTATTTTGCAATAATTAGCTGGTTTTAAGGGGTATATAATAAATTTATCATTATAACAGTAACTTGTAGCTGTATCACGTTTCGTTGACAGGCGCGGATCATCACATCAAACTCGACGCTTCGCGTCTCTTTTGATCTGATGATCCATTCCTGTCAACTCGACGTGATACAACCCTTCGGATAAAGTTACTGTTATAACAATATATATGTATGATACTTACGATTTTTCACAAATGAATGGCTTTGATTCTTCACAATGATCGTCATCCCAGTGATAGTGAAATTCATGACATAGTTGCATACAGTCCTGATTATAGTCATCATTAGGTTGTCCTGGATACCAGTCATCGTACCCTATAGGATCAAAACCGGGCATCCATCTCCATCCTCCTTCAACCATAGCGTCAGTCGCTCCCACCCAAAAATCAGCTAAAGCATTATTTTAATTACAATTATTTCCTATGTCATATTTGAGATTTTATTTTGTATATTAGATTTATGAGTTTCATTTCATCAAAAATGTCAACAACTCTTTTTCGTGTTCTTATTTTTTATTAGCTAATAATATTGATATTTCACATAAAATATATTAAATCAATACCTCCATTTCCATACAAATTGACGTGTGTTCGAAGAAACTGGTTTTCAAAGTAATCGCCAATATTTGTTAGATAGGCATGAAAGTTTCTACAATAGTCCTGAAAATAATACAAATAATAAAAGTACAAGTTAGACCTTTCAATATCTTCCTATCCTGTCATTATAATGCTCTTCATAAAGATTTTAAAGATCTTTATTCACCTGCAATTAAGTCGCAGCATTTTTTATTATTTCTTTGGAGAAATAAAAAGGGTGAAGATTACGAAAAGTGACTGATTCATAAAAAAATAACTAAAAAACAAGCCCCTTAAAATTACAGACATGGGATCTAGAATTCACTAGGTATACAGAATACCTACAGTCAAAGATAAATCGTTTTAAGGCAGATCTACTTCACTGTTTGTTAGTTTAATTTAGCTTTTAAGTTGCAAATTAGGTCAATACATATTTCCTTTTGTAGGTTTTGTAGCCTAACCAGATGTAGCTATCAAAACAAATTCATGGACCACTTGAAGGCCCAGGGTCTGTTTTACAGGAGAACCTAGGAAAAAACCAAAACATCTAGCTGTTTGTAAAATTTCACAAAATAAATGACAAATATTTTCCTATACTGCATTTAAAAATCAAAATTCATTTTTAATATCACGTAAATTAGAAACCTTTTTAGCAGAATTCCCGACACTTGACATTAAAAATCCCCCGTCAAACATGAACACTAGTATTTCCCGATTCTGAACGATAAATAAATGGTTTTTTTGTGTTTCATTCTTTTGAAAATTGAATTCATCTACCAATTCAATAGAAAAGAGTTTTAGTTCATTGTGTTTACACAGTATAAAAAAACAATGTTTATGAATTTTAATATAATCTCGTTTCGTGGATAAAATCAAATGTGAGAGAGGGAGAAAGAGGGATTCATGTACCTCAGCAGCTGTCCAATGCCTGTTTTGGTGAACAAACAAATAACAGCTTGATCCATGTGAAATCCATCCACCTGAACATTCACAATCAACTTCTACAAAGCAAAGGAATAACTTGCACTTTGCACTCTAAATAAATTATACGTCTTTCCATTTACTTTAAAGTTTATGATTGATAATTTACCGACAACTTTTTTTCACCTGTCGAAAGAGATAGCAAAAATTGTACTACGATCAACAGTATTTTAACCTCCATCGAAAAATGACATGCAATGCGTATGCCACGTGACAGTCATAGTAAGATAAATGTACAACAATGCAAGAATTCTGCAATTTGACCCAACAGATAAGACACAATGCCGTTTCGAAAATTATGTGTAGTACATAAATATCTAATTTTTTAAGAACCTTTATATATATATATATATATATACATGTTACACCTAACATAGGGCCAATCTCCAAACGCTTTCAGGAACGCTGGGACGTTATTACAAGGAGATGTTCTAAACAATTGATGTCACTCTGTAGGACCTCTGTAGGAACCCCCATTGGCTGCATACAGACGCCCAAGGAACCTAAAGGACATGGTAGTAAGAACCAGACTGGACAACCCATTACCTAACGGGGGCTTTAAAACTTGCTCTGACAGAAGATGTCTTCTTTGCAAGCACAGCACTGACACAGACAGTTTTAACAGCCCTGTTACAGGCCGCAGCTACAAAATACTAGGGAATTTGTCCTGTCATACTGACAACTGCATTTATCTCATCAGTTGCAAAGTTTGCTCCAAACAGTATATTGGTGAAACAGGAGATCTCCGCAGGAGAGTCAATAACCACCGTTCGACCATTAGGACCAAAAAACTCAATGAACCCGTTGGAGAACATTTCAACCTTGAGGGTCACAAATGGGAGGACATGACAGTAGTGGTGATTGACCATAACCCAAGATGGACAGATGCTCAGAGAAAAAGCAAAGAAAAGTTCTGGATGCACAGATTGAAGTCATTCCGCCCTAATGGTATTAACAAACTGAATGACTTCACCAGAATGAACGTAAACTAGACCCAATTCCTGATGATACTAAACAAGATTATTCTCTCAATTTAGTGTAAATTCTACAGTTAATTTGCGTCACCAACTCTCGAACAACTCTCATAACTATGTATTGCTTACACCTTTGTTAATTATTTTTTCCCGGTAATAAGTCCCTAAATATTTCAAAATTTATAATTGATCATAATTCATATGTTTAAATATCCCTGCTACATTATTTTTCTTCGATTATTCTTTATTAAGTAAAGTTACGCCATTTTGAGAGAATGAAACAATGTACGATTTACTGATTGTCGTAATTAATTAGCATAATTAATTCGTTCAATTATGTAAATCGCACTTCGCCCGAGTATACCCGATAGACCGGACGCATTTCATAGCGGTCCGGATTTCTTTCTTTATTAGTGTTTTTAAAAATTCCAATTCATCATGTAATTAAGTATGTAAATATCTAGTGTTTAGTAGTTTAGTAGTAGTGCTAGTTGTTCTTGTTTCTCTTTTTCCTTTGTTCTTATGACTTTCTAACTTTTTTCTTTGTCCTGAGGAAGGGACAGGGCGTCCCGAAAATTTGACAATTTTTATTGTTCGTGTCGTTGGTCATTTTTAGTGCTTTATATAAATTTCCATCCGTGACCTTGTATCTACTTGGTAGATCCGACATTTAGGATATACAGTGTTGTTGGTTTTTTAGTGCTTTTTATATCCTTTTTCGCCAACTGTATCTTCACAGATCCACCCGTATATCCATCATTTCTTTATCTATATTTTCTGTTCTTATCATTTATTTTTGGTTATGTCTTTCATTATTTGACATTTTTTACTATTTAGTTTGTTTCCAACCTTTGCAAATAAGTTCTTTCCACTTTTCCCTTTCGATTTTACTCACGTACCGTTTGTTTTGAATATTTTTGAATTCGTGCACGAGTTATCTACAAAATCCTTCAGAATACAGAACAATCGTTCGTTGAATCTTTCGACTTCATACGACTAAAAACTTAAAAGTAGTCTTATCATTTTGGCAATTGTAATTTCCTTTCAAATATGGCTATTAAAGATAACCCAACATTTAAACTTCTAAAGAAAGAACACCAAAAATCGATAAAAACTGAACACCGGGTCTCCAATTTACAGACCTACTTAGAGTGTAACATTATACCGAAAGGCTTTCAGATAAATGTTACACCTAACATAGGGCCAATCTCCAAACGCTTTCAGGAACGCTGGGACGTTATTACAAGGAGATGTTCTAAACAATTGATGTCACTCTGTCTTTCTTGGGATATCCACAAGTTAGGACAATTGAAGAGTGAGATCAAGTCCTTAGAATCATCCCTCAACGACATCATGTCCCAGGCCGATCTTGATGAAGCCCATAATATTATAGACACCTATAATATGGCCCTAACAAATAAAGTCAACAAGACTCAAAAAAAGAAATTTCTCCGCGACAGTGTTCCACAGTCTAGGAACAACTGGTCAGAGGTCAGAGTTAACAAAACACGCAAACCCCGCTCGAGACGCTTCAAACGCATTAAGACAATCGCGAGGAACGGACCCATACAAACTCCTGACGTCTGCCCAGTGCTCAATACATCTAGTGCTCCTCTCTCCGAATCGGAGACCTCACTTCTTTCCAAGGGGCTAAATTTCTGCCCCACGCCACATGAGGTCGACGAAAAACAAGTCAGAGAGGACACCCGAGCATTCTTCCGGAGACTTCGTTTGAAGGAGCACTTCTCTAGAAAAGACTCCGTAGTAAATTCATACGACTCTTCCAAGCCAGATTTACAAGATCTAGAGGAACACAAACTCTATAAGCCCAAGAGTGACTGGGAACCTGCACCGGGCAAGTGCGGCGCGCTTGAGTCGTATATTGACGCCGTTGAGTCAGACATAGAGAAGCTCCTTTCAATGCCAGACAAGACTCCCGACAATTTGAGTAAGGAAGAGAGATCTGCCTTACAATCATTAAAAAATCGGGATGACATTGTAATCAAGAAAGCAGACAAAGGTTCTACAGTTGTAGTAATGGATAAAGAGACTTACATGGCGGAGGCCCAAAGACAACTCTCAGACGAACGTTTCTATAAGAAACTGGACTCTGACCCTACTAAAGAATTCTCCACCGCCATTACCAAAACTCTTGACGATATGTTTGAGAAAAATGAGATTGGTATCAACGTCTATGATACCTTAAATCCTATTGACTGTAGACCAGGACAATTTTATCTGCTTCCTAAAATACACAAAGAAGGCATGCCAGGTCGCCCCATAGTCAGCGCAATTGGACACCCCACGGAGAAAATTTCTGAATTCATTGATTTACATCTCCGTCCACACGTAGAGAATTTGCCATCCTATCTCAAGGACACCACGGACTACATTAACAAGACGCCCTCTACTGGCCTCCCAAATCATACTATGGACGTCACATCTTTGTACACCAATATTCCACACGATGAGGGTATCGAAGCCTGTAGAGAAGTCTGGGATAGTAGGTCCATACAAATTCCTTCTACAGAGTCCCTTGCTAAGCTCCTTGAACATGTTCTCAAGTTCAACAACTTCATGTTTAATGGAGAACATTACCTGCAGGTTAATGGCACTGCTATGGGTACGAAAATGGCACCGTCTTATGCCAATGTCTTCATGGGCAGACTGGAACGCAACTTGTTACTTCAAGCACCATTTAGGCCCCATAGCTGGTTGCGTTTCATAGACGATATAGAGATGAAGTGGGTGGAATGTCGCGAGAGCCTCGAGGCATTCATTACGTTTGCCAACACCTTTCATCAATCGATCAAATTTACAGTAGACGTATCTAATTCGAAAAACGTATTCCTAGATACTACATCTACCCTGATTGATGGTGAAATCGAATTCAGTCTCCACACCAAACCCACAGACTCCCACCTATATCTTATGCCCTCTAGCTGTCATCCCCCACACACTTTTAAGGGAGTGCCTAAGGGTCTAGCCACCAGAATTCGACGCATCTGTTCGTCCCCTGCCTTATATCAGGAGCAAAGTGGTCTTCTTAAGTCCCACTTATGCAAAAGAGGCTACAATGCCCGCACCGTACAAACAGCTATTGATGAGATGGCGGGACATGACAGGCAAAACCTATTACGCTACAAGGAGAAAGACAATAGCGACAGGGTCCCTCTGGTAACCACATACCATCCCGTCCTTAAGAACCTTAGCGGTATCCTTCAAAAGAACCTACCAATTCTCCATTCAAACAAACGAATGGCAGAGGTCTTTAAGGAACCCCCATTGGCTGCATACAGACGCCCAAGGAACCTAAAGGACATGGTAGTAAGAACCAGACTGGACAACCCATTACCTAACGGGGGCTTTAAAACTTGCTCTGACAGAAGATGTCTTCTTTGCAAGCACAGCACTGACACAGACAGTTTTAACAGCCCTGTTACAGGCCGCAGCTACAAAATACTAGGGAATTTGTCCTGTCATACTGACAACTGCATTTATCTCATCAGTTGCAAAGTTTGCTCCAAACAGTATATTGGTGAAACAGGAGATCTCCGCAGGAGAGTCAATAACCACCGTTCGACCATTAGGACCAAAAAACTCAATGAACCCGTTGGAGAACATTTCAACCTTGAGGGTCACAAATGGGAGGACATGACAGTAGTGGTGATTGACCATAACCCAAGATGGACAGATGCTCAGAGAAAAAGCAAAGAAAAGTTCTGGATGCACAGATTGAAGTCATTCCGCCCTAATGGTATTAACAAACTGAATGACTTCACCAGAATGAACGTAAACTAGACCCAATTCCTGATGATACTAAACAAGATTATTCTCTCAATTTAGTGTAAATTCTACAGTTAATTTGCGTCACCAACTCTCGAACAACTCTCATAACTATGTATTGCTTACACCTTTGTTAATTATTTTTTCCCGGTAATAAGTCCCTAAATATTTCAAAATTTATAATTGATCATAATTCATATGTTTAAATATCCCTGCTACATTATTTTTCTTCGATTATTCTTTATTAAGTAAAGTTACGCCATTTTGAGAGAATGAAACAATGTACGATTTACTGATTGTCGTAATTAATTAGCATAATTAATTCGTTCAATTATGTAAATCGCACTTCGCCCGAGTATACCCGATAGACCGGACGCATTTCATAGCGGTCCGGATTTCTTTCTTTATTAGTGTTTTTAAAAATTCCAATTCATCATGTAATTAAGTATGTAAATATCTAGTGTTTAGTAGTTTAGTAGTAGTGCTAGTTGTTCTTGTTTCTCTTTTTCCTTTGTTCTTATGACTTTCTAACTTTTTTCTTTGTCCTGAGGAAGGGACAGGGCGTCCCGAAAATTTGACAATTTTTATTGTTCGTGTCGTTGGTCATTTTTAGTGCTTTATATAAATTTCCATCCGTGACCTTGTATCTACTTGGTAGATCCGACATTTAGGATATACAGTGTTGTTGGTTTTTTAGTGCTTTTTTATATATATATATATATATATATATATATATATATATATATATATGACTTTTAGCCTCTTTTTTAAATATCGATATAGAAGACCGTTACTGGTTAACATAGATAATTTTCATTTTTATCTTTTTATTAATTCTCATTAAATGAAAGAATAATTGCAGAAATAGCTAAGCTGAAGAAGCTTTCTCTCTCTCTCTCTCTCTCAAGAATATTTTTAAAGCAATTAGAATATGAACAAGTCACACAACAGTGCTTTGCAATGTGTCTTTGAGGATTGAGCATCCCCTGGTTTAAGGATATCCTATCCTCAGATAGGAAGGATAAATAATTTATTTGATTTTAAAACAATCAAAAATAAAGCTTAAACTTAAAATCCTTTCATCCAACAATGCTTCTCATTGAGATTCAAGTTACGTTGAAATTTTAGAAAAAAGTCTTACAAAAAGTTAGTAGCTATGTTAATTGTATTTTTTTGAAATTCTGAACATTCAATTTTGCAGGTTTAAAGTTAAAACGTTGGTCAACCTCAAAATATAAAAGCAATCCGAATTTCCGCGGGTACCATTTCCGCGGCATTTTACAAAATATAAATGAAATTTATAAAGTGATAATAACTTTTTATTTCAAATTTTTCGGTGCTCCGGGTCACTATCCAAAGTCTAGTAATGAAGTCATAATTGTAATTATATATTTGAAATTTATGGTGATTTTACATTTTATAATTCACATTTAGTAAAGAATTATAAATACATATAAAAAAAAATTAAATATCAATGACAACGTTTTTATTCAAATTATAGCTTGTCCAAGACCTTTTATGGACAACTCTCGTAAATATAGATAATAAGATATATACAAGATCACTACGTACTAAATGACTGGATTTTTTAAATACTTGTGGAATAGGAGGAAGATAAGTCCTACAAGATCTAGTCCAAGTTTATGTTAAAGTCTACAAGGATTGTCTTTTTTAGAACCTGCATTTATTTCTGTACATAGAAACCTTTGACTATATGCACCTGACGTCTAGTTATCTCTGTATAAGGTTGCAATAACAGGACACTTGGTCTCTGAACTAAGGAACAAGCAAAGAAAATGTCATCCCAAATTCTATTCAAATGGCTTGCTATTGCAACATTCACAGGTAACGTAAAATAATAACCATAATTTTTTTATACGTATAGTGAATCCTTTTTCAAGTTCCTTCGAGTTTCATTTTTTTTTCACATTGCATATAAATTTAATTATCAAAGTTCGATCAAAGGCGGTCGCCCACGTGGAGCAGTGGTTGGAGCGTCTGCTCTAGAGTCGCGAAGTAAGGAGTTGATCCTTACGTCGAGGGTTGAAATCCCACTTTTGGACGTGATCTAACCCTTAGGATGAGACTGTATAAACAGAGGCCCCGTGTCGCAGTAGCTGCTGCCACGAAATGACCCCTCCCTGCTCAATGGCCCCAAGTGCCGAGGATAGGACAAAATTTGCAAAATGAGTGAAAAATTAAGGGACGTTAAACAACATACAATCAATCAATCAAGGGTGCACTTGAATATGTGTCAGGTTGTACATGCTTTATTTATTTCAGGGATTATATATGTGGAAGCTGACTGTCCGAACAACTGGAAAAGTTTTGATAGAAATTGTTATCTATTTCTAAACCATCATCCAATGAACTGGCAGAGCTCTCGGGTATGTTTTCATTCTTCTTTTTTTTCTTTTGATAGTCTTGTCCTAAAGTGAAAAGTAACAGGTCAAAAATGAAAAAAAAGAAGTTATTTTTGAATATTTTATTGTTGAGTATGGAATGAAGCTTTTCTCATAAGATAGTTGTTGTATTTTAGTGATTTTTTCACTACCAGTTTCTGAAGTCTTTGTATATTAATTTTGCATTATAAAAGTACATGTATTGGTTGTTGATAGTAATTAGAAATTATTGATGTTTATATGAATAGGTAATTTAAACACACACGAGGGGAATTTTAATAATATTCTGTAAATTTATTTGAAATCTTCTAACAGATCATAATTTTAATTGTATTCTTAATCATGATGAGAATTCAGATATTGTGAATTTATTTGGTACAGGACTACTGCATTCACGCAGGTGCTAAGTTGGTGGAAATTGATTCTTCTGTTGAGGATATTTTCATACTACAAAACGCCAAGGATTTACATCTAAGTGGTCGTAAGTTTTAACTATTACCTATTTCATAATTACCTAATATACCTTCTGATAATACCCAAATGATTTCCATTGCAAGCAAACAATACAAAGGACGGGAATAACAGTTGAATATACCTAATTTTGTACAATAAATTAGAATGTGGTATACACAGTCATCGAAAGCTATCAATTGATCTGATAGTTTTTTTTCCAAGAATTCAAGCATTTGTTAATTTATGTGCGTTTCCTACGATGCTTTTGTAAGTATAAAGTGATATTGTTTAAGTTGTTGTAGCTTATACGTATTAAAAAAATCCCAACGAATTGACCTCAAAACATTACAAATTGATAAAATCGATTTCACAAATTTTTTGAAAAGGGTTTGTAGTTGGGTATTTCAATTAACGAGCCATAAACATTACAAATTATAAGAAATCGAAAGAATTTTCTATCTTCTTTTTCATAGACTGTTTTTGGTTGGGAGGATCTGACGCCGAGCACTCGGGAGTATGGTTGTGGTCAACTTCACGTAAAATGTTTATGTACACAAACTGGGCGCCAGGCGAGCCTAACGACTACCACACACACAAGGAGCACTGCCTTAATCTCCACTACTACACTCACTATAACGCGTACCTCTGGAATGACGAGCGGTGTGCAGAACATTGCTACCCTATCTGTGAACAACCGTACGGGAAAGTTGTAATATATTGACGGTGCGACTGGTAGGCTGAGTGCAGATACTTGCTCAGTTTTTATTATAATCGAGCTCGTCCAACTGCACGATAATATACATAAGACGTTAGAAAATTATACTAAAACATAAAGACAGGTTACACGGCTTTGTATCAATTTTAAATCATTGGATTTAAAATATGGGTACAATTTCCGGTTGTTTGAATAATAATTATACGCACAATTTTTAGCAAGGCGAACGAATTGATGAAACAAAATATTGATCTGCTCGTTGAAATTCATCAAATTAGAGTTTCTATAGCCAAAACAATAAGTAGGTGCCATTATATACATATTGAGTTTTCTACTGATATTTCCGCTTACCCCGATCATAACAAAAAGCATACAGCGAGTGTCAAAGGTAGACAGGAAATATACACACCCCCAGGGCACCTGATTCCACATTGAAGTCTGTGTTTCTTCCGCCCCTGATTTGTAAAATTCAAATGAACTTTTGAGCTTTAATATTGTCCCTTATTACCATATTTCATAATGGAAAATGTTGACTGCGTGGTAAAGACCATTGGTCGATTACTTTGAGAAACTAGAATAGAGATTGTTTTAAAGCTATATGAAGTTTCCATTCAAAAGGAATTGTATGATAAGCTTTTCCCGAAAAAAATACCACGAACGCAAAATGCATTGTAAATGCATTTGGCAATTTCTATAGGCGAGGCAATGACCTTGTCAGCAAATACAATTTCTAATTGAGTCACAACTGACGTTTTACAAGCTTAGAGTTAGTCCATTTTATGTATTTATACACTGAATCGAAGACGAATTACTCCGCTATTTCCCGATCATATTAAGGAGCACACGGCGGGAGTAGCCAGACGGTGGTAAATGCTCACTCCGACATTGCACCTGATCCCACCTCTGATGTTTTGGAGATCCGTGTTTGCTCTGCTCCTATTTTGTATTGTTTTATGGACTTTTGATCTTGAATATTGTTGTATATCTTCATATATATACCGTTGGTAAAATTTTAACTTCTTTAAGTGTTTTAAAATATTTTATGAATTATAGACATTGGTTTATTTTCTATTAAATTCAGAAACCCATGGATACGATTCACCGATAAACCTTATGTTCCTACCGCCACCACCACCACTTCTACCTCCAAGACCACAACCTCAGTCCCTTCCACCACCACAAATACTGCCCTTCCACCGACTACCAAGCACTTACAAATGGTGACACTGCCGCAGCACCCACAAACCTCTCAGCTTACAAACTGTCAAAGCGGATGGATCAGATTTGGTTTCAGTTGTTATCTTTTTGCTACAGACATCTCGTACGACTGGATTGAATCAGGGGTAAAGGATGATTGTATCGCTGTGTATAAATAAACGAATAGTCAATAGAGTTAGCTTTTTTTTAACAGTTACTATTCAAATTGAGATTTAAATACAAATAGTTATGTATACTATGTAATGCATCTCTAACATATCATTGTCGAGGAAAATAATATATTGTCATTTAGGTAAGTTGTAAATGTGGATATTCGTTTTTTACACCTTTCTCTGGTTTATCTTAATTTTCGGTTAAGGTATAAAAAGAATTGAATATTCTAATAAATATTTCATATTTAAGAAATAAGGTATCATTTTTGGAGTTTTATTGGAATGTAAAACGGGTTGGTCACGTGATCAAATCTCAAAAAGCCTGAAGGACTTTATGGAAGATTTGATCATGTGTCAATCCGATTTACATCCCAATAAAATTCAAAAAACGATACCTTATTACTTATACACTGTATTTACATTTGTAACTGATTTATTGCAAATAGTAAGGTACTTAAGTAAAGTTTGAAATTCATAATTTTTTTTTCAAAACTGAACGGTAAAAATTGATTGTGTTGATAACGTCGATCGCTTATGACGTCGCTATCAAATTACGTAGATTGCTGATGAACTAACAATCAATTTATTGTCACATGACGAACGTGTTTTACGAAGATGTAAAAACACCTTGTTCAAATAGTGTTATATGAGGGAAAACATTTGCAAATGTAAATAATCATAGTTAAAGTCGATATAATATTAGATACTTACTATTTTGCGGCATTGAATGTTCTGAACTTTGTATATTTCACAAATTTCAGCACTTCTGCACACTGTTTGGTGCATCTTTAGCATCCATAGAAACTGATATTGAAAATAATTTTATAAGACAGCAGTTGCTTAGCATCGCAAAATCTGGTAAGAGGAAAGGGGTTTAATTGACTAAAACATATCTTTAACCTAGATGAACTTCGTAATTATTATTCTGAATATTATTATATATTTAGCTGACTTTTGGGTTGGTGGAACAGACATTATGTCAGAAGGTGACTGGAAATGGGTGACGTCACAAAAGCCTATAACTTATTCCAGTTGGTATCCTGGAAGGCCTAATGATCTTCATCACACTGTTAACTGTCTGGAACTGTCTCATAATTATCAGTACCACTGGAATGACCAAGACTGTAGTATACAAAACCATTTTATTTGTGAAATGCCGTAAGTTCTATATATTTTACTTTCAGGTTTTTAAAATAGGTTTTGTAATTGGATTCATTCAACTTCAATTTTTTGTGCTTTCAGCCTTATATTCATAATTTTAAGGATCAAGACTTTTCTTTCCTTTTTAGGAATCCTGCTAACTCTCGTCCCATATTTGGATAAAAGGCATAAAATACATCAATCTTTAGAGTTTGTTCATAAAGGAATGAAGTCTGAAATGAATTTTTTGATAAAAGTGTTTTACATATCAAGTTTTTCAAAAATTTGTCCTTATGTATTGTTTCTTTTTAAATCAAGAAAACTTGTGAATTGCATTGTTTGTACTTTGAGTTGTGTATTGATTTTTCCCCAGTTTTCCGATATGTTTTTAATGTTGCTTTTCTTGGCTGCAAACGCCAGTATCAATTTTAAACTATATCTTAAGTGTATTTAGAGTAGATACATAAATATAAGTATGACTTATCGGATTCCTGGCCCCAGGATCAGAAATAAAGTTCGACTTAGGTCAAAATTTCAATTACCTGTAAAATACAAATGTACTTATTAATTGCTTAATTTATTTCAAAGTTTGCAAATATCAACACTTTAATGAATTGATATTGACACACATTTCAATTTTGATTTCTTTGAAGTCAACAACATTTCAAGTAATATTTCGACTTAACCTTAAGATGTTTCATGATCCTGGGACAATGAAATTTTAACCTGCACTTCTTGAAAATGATTCCATTAACATCATTTGTTTTTTGTCATTGAGACAAAGGTTTTCAGAGATTTTCTTGCTGCATACCTATGAAAATTTTAAATCATTTATTTTTGCCCAACTCTATGTAACCTGATCCCACCCCTATTCACCGTGTTTGCTCTGCTCCCGTTTTGTGTTGTTTTATCTCCATATCCTTCATCATAGACTCACGTTTTTAATCACTTACTTTTACTGACGGTTTTTTTTTTTCCATTTCGATATAAATTATCATGACTCTGTCGTTCCTACACATATTTATGCTAAAATTTGATCGCAAATTATGGCTATAAACAAGCCGGGGTCATGTTCTGTAATTATTGATTTTTCATTTATTTTAAAAGTTTTCACAAAAACTTATATTACTTGACCCTTTGTACTTGATAATTGTCTTTTTTCCTTCGCCGATATTAACTGCCTGCTCGGCGTTAAACAATAATAATAATCAATCTTTTTTCCTAGTCCTTTCTTGAAAGGGGGTTTGGTAATTTATTTGGACAAGTCGGAATCCACTTCCTTCAAAGATGCTCTTTTGCAAGTTCAATTGAAATCGCCAGTTTGGTTTTAGAGAAGAAAATTTAAAATTAAAAAAATATATATAAAATGTAGATAGACCAATAAGAAGACGAAGGAAAAAACAAACAACTTAAGATAGTTGAGAAAAGCTCAGGTGAACCTTTAACTGTATAAGCTTTAAGATTAATCACGCCCTGAGCTTTCCACACACGCATCCCCCGAAAAAATATATTGAGTATCACATCTTGGAAACGCTCCAATACTCAAGTCTTTTTTAAGCAATTTTCCACTCTAAATGCATTTTAAACATTTTAGAAAATTTATTAGTCATATCATTGTCATGATTTGACTCTGCATTTTTTCAAACAAAATTATCTTAGACTTGTGTTTTCTCATCTTTTAATTGATTGATTCGAGTCGTTTTACACCAACTAACCTTATAGATCAAACGCAAAATCCTCAGCCAGAGTAACTCACTAGAATCGTTAAAATTAGTGCCTTCAATTACAAAAAAATGTCTACACTATTACTTATATACGAGAGGGTATCAAAAAGTTCGTGGACTGGCGCCATGAAATTAAAACCACTTTAGGTACATTAACAAATTTTAAAATATCTAGTAAGCATCACCTTTACTATCTTCAGAATAAATCACAAATCATAAATTCAATTTTTTAATAAATGAGTGATGTTTTCGTAAGCAACGGTATGTTCAAGCGGCGCAACTAAGAACACGACGTTTTTTTAGACTTAAGTGTAACCGAGAGAAACTCTTCAGATATGAACACTTTATATCCAAAAATTCCGTTCATTTAGGTATGTTTTGGGACACTACGAGGGCTGTCCGTAAAGTTCGTGGACAACATTTATAATTACTGACAAACATTGACAAAATATATAAAACTATTATTTTCATCAAATTCATGTTTCATTTTAAGAATATACAAGTTTTCAATAAAAACAAAGCACATTAACTATAACATTATTAGATACAAAAAAGACACACACTCATATCCGGAGCACAAAAACGAAAATTAATGACGTTACCCGACGTCAAATGCTAAGTTCGAGCACATGTAATTTTTCTCAACATAGTCAGCGTTTAACTCAATAATTACTTATGTCGTTTTGACAAGTCATAAAAATACGCACAAAATGTCCAGGTTTCATTTGTAAAATAATATTTAACAATGATCGTCTCATATATCCAGCAATCATCCAACCACTGTCCGTGTAAAGACGATTATGGTTGGCCGTTCTACTCACAATTATTTATTTTTACTCCACTAAAATTATTTTTACTGCAGTAAAAATAAAACACTGGCCAATGCTACTCACAATTAAATATTTTTACTCCAGTAAAATTATTTTTACTCCAGTAAAAATCATTTAATTTCTTACTGAAGTAAGATTACTTTTTGGCCACATTACTCACATTTAATTAATTTTACTGCAGTAAAAATAAAACACTGGCCATCTAACTCACACATTAATTATTTTTACTGCAGTAGAAATATAACACTGGCCTTCTCTACTCACAATTAAATATTTTTACTTAAGTAAAAATCAACCAATAACCAGGTATGTTACAAATTAGCATTTCTAATAAATATTGGCGGTAATGGCGTATACAAGACATCACCGTGAATTAGAAAACACTAAAGAAGAATTCTTAAGACGAACAAAGCAAACCATCAATGACTGTATACGTTTATCAGCCACAGATAACCTTGAAGCAGAAACCATTGACAGCATTGTTTTAAGGTAGGCATCATAAATTTGCATATTTATCTTGTTTGTTGGCGGATCCAAGATTTTTTTATGTGTTGTGAGAAAAGTTATATTACTCTAGACCTATCGAAAATTTTCATCATGTTCATATTCCAGCTGTTATTATTTTGTACTAAAACTCAGTATCTAATTAAATATATTTTTTGTCAGGTTCTTATATTCGGCAATGGGTATCATGAAAAATTATTTTTATACTCACGGATCAATAGATCGGGGCGCATATTGTTTTTGTCTTGTTTGTTTGTCTCTCGGTTGTCAACAGCCACGTAGCATCGTTTTTGAAGGGGGGGGCAGCCCAGAGAAAAAAATTTTCACTTACCTGAAGAAAGTTGACAAGAAAAAAAAAACAAAAAAAAAGAAAAAAGGAAAATTGTCCAAAGTCGGGTAGTTTGACAACTTTTTTCAGTGTCATCAAGTTCTTTCAGTACCAATTTTTAGCATTCAGTACTACATTTCCCTTATATAAATTTCCTGTAGTGTACAGAGGGGGGGGGGCTACCAACCTTTCAATTAACATTTCCTATAGTAAAAGTCAGGTTGGAAATAAAGTGGGGGGAAGCCCCCCCCCCCCCCCCCCCGTTGCTACGTGCCTGATCATTCACCATACATTTAACTTACAAACCATGAAAGATAGATTCACTCCACTATAATTAAATTCTTTCAAATGACACCAACGTTAATGACCTTGTGACCTTAATTGTAACCTATAAGCTAAAAATATTTTTTTTTAACCTTTACAATGATTTTTGAACCACAAAAATTATCGAGGGACTTCATGTTTGGTATGCATATTCCACTAACTAAGTTCTTTCAAATGACACCAAGGTCAATGAATGGCACAAGTCATACATTGTGGAGTAAACAAATAATATACAGCTTTTCCTATATTAATTAAATGCACCACGTACATGTACATGTATGAAGTTACAAATTTTAGAAATGTCATCTTGCTGTACATATAAAAAAGACCTAAAGTCTTTTTATATACAGCAAAATTATATTGAAAAAATATATATATTTTGAGTTCTTTAAGGAGGAATGCCACATCAACTTTTTATTTTATAGATCTCTGAGTCAACCTTTTTAAACAATGGTTTCAGCATTGAAAGGCCGACATTAACTCTTATTTATTTTATATGATTTTGTTTTGTAAAATACAAAGAAAATTAAAGGTATATTTAAATTTATTTTTCAAGCTTTACATAATTTTCTAATGCAAGCTTTGTTTCAGAATCGAGCGCGTTGAAAGAAATCTTGTCAGAGGCATTGGCGTTGTGTTGTCACAAGAAGAAACTGGGCCAATTTTAGAAGAGACTCGGGAAATGCTGAAAGATTTTGAGCAGCTAAGGGAGGCATCAGGTTTAGGTAAACTAATTAACAATTCAATACAACTGAAAATAAAGTATTAGGAAGCCCTGTACGTTCTGAAAATGATCACTAAATTATGTATGTTATGATAATCAAAGTGATATGTCTTCATAATGTGTTCCATGCAATGTATTGAACTCTTTAGTATGTGATCCAAATTAATATGATCTAATCGATAAATATAACAAGATTTTTGTGAATCACTGCATGATGTCCCTGTATGGCAAAAAGTAGGTAAAACACCAAGTTGAAGGTCAAAGAGTCAAATGAAAGTTGTATGTTTCTAATTTAATGAAATTAAGGTCTTCTCACAAGGATAACATATGAAGTATATGAAAACCCTAGCCCTACCATTTATAAGTTATCGTTGAGGTTACACTTTTTTTAAGTACGTAATTCTCCAAGGTCAAGATCAACTCAAAGTTGATGGTATCCAATGAAGATTGCGATACAAAAATACATATGTGAAGTATGAAAGTCCTAGTATTCACCGTTAAAAAGTTATGGCCAAAGTAAAATTTTTGATTCTTTTTGTATAAGTGTGTCAAAAACCAAGGCCAAGAGGTCAAATTTGTCGGTCACCAAAGAAAGGTCTTGTCACAAAAATATGAAATATGAAAGTTAAAGATCCACTTAGTCAAAAGTTATGGACAACTTGTTAAAGTTTTGCCAACAAATGGACAGAAAGACAGACAGACAAAACAAAACCTATATACCTCTGAATCTTCAATTATGTGGGCATGACAAAAATACCGGTAATACACTTTTTTATATTTATGACTAAGTTACACATCTATATTGATGTAGTCAAATATATTTTCTCTTACCTATTCATTTAATTAATATGTTCGTTCCGTTCAGTGTGTCCAGTAAAACATTTTTTTTTCATATTTTCCTTTATAGGTCATTCTAGCTATAGACCTGGAAAGATCAGACTTGGCAGATGTGGAGCTCCAAGATACGACGTGTCCATGGAACAATTAGAATTCTTGGTTATACCCGCACTTTCTAAAGAAAGTTCGGGTATATTGTTGTTACTCATGTCCGTCCGTCCGTCCGTCCGTCCGTCTGTCCGTCCGTCTGTCACACTTTTCTTCCCTGAACTCCTCCTACATTTTACACAGTAGCTTAATCATCTTTTAAGAGATGGTTGGTGGTGTCATGTAGATGTGCAGTAAGGTTTCGGAATTTTGATTTTGCCCCGGGGGGTCAAATGGGGGTCGAAAAATGACGTTTTTTGTGCAAAAAGTCCCGTCTTCCCTGAACTCCTTCTACATTTAACTCAGCAGCCAAATCACCTTTTGGGGGATGATTGGTGGTGTCATGTAGATGTGCAGTAAGCTTTCGGAATTTTGATTTTGCCCCGGGGGGTCAAATGGGGGTCGAAAAATGACGTTTTTTGTGCAAAAAGTCCCGTCTTCCCTGAACTCCTTCTACATTTTACTCAGCAGCCTAATCACATTTTGGGGGATGATTGGTGGTGTCATGTTGATGTGCAGTAAGGTTTCGGAATTTTGATTTTGCCCCGGGGGGTCAAATGGGGGTCAAAAAATGACGTTTTTTATGCAAAAAGCCCTATCTTCCCTGAACTCCTCTTACATTTTACTTAGCAGCCTAATCATCTTTTGTTGGATGATTAGTGGTGTCATGTAGATGTGCAGTAAGGTTTCAGAATTTTGATTTTGCCCCGGGGGGTCAAATGGGGGTCGAAAAATGACGTTTTTTGTGCAAAAAGTCCCGTCTTCCCTGAACTCCTTCTACAATTTAATCAGCAGCCAAATCACCTTTTGGGGGATGATTGGTGGTGTCATGTAGATGTGCAGTAAGGTTTCGGAATTTTAATTTTGCCCCGGGGGGTCAAATGGGGGTTGAAAAATGACGTTTTTTATGTAAAAAGCCTCATCTACCCTGAACTCCTCTTACATTTTACTTAGCAGCCTAATCATCTTTTGTGGGATGATTAGTGGTGACATGTAGATGTGCAGTAAAGTTTCTGAATTTTGATTTTGCCCCGGGGGGTCAAATGGGGGTCGAAAAATGACTTTTTTTGTGCAAAAATTCTCGTCTTCCCTGAACTCCTTCTACATTTTACTCAGCAGCCAAATCACCTTTTGGGGGATGGTTGGTGGTGTCATGTAGATGTGCAGTAAGGTTTCGGAATTTTAATTTTGCCCCGGGGGGTCAAATGGGGGTAGAAAAATGACGTTTTGTAAAAAGCCCCATATACCCTGAACTCCTCTTACATTTTACTTAGCAGCCTAATCATCTTTTGTGGGATGATTAGTGGTGACATGTAGATGTGCAGTAAGGTTTCGGAATTTTGATTTTGCCCCGGGGGGTCAAATGGGGGTCGAAAAATGACGTTTTTTGTGCAAAAAGTCCCGACTTCCCTGAACTCCTTCTACATTTTACTCAGCAGCCAAATCACCTTTTGGGGGATGGTTGGTGGTGTCATGTAGATGTGCAGTAAGGTTTCGGAATTTTAATTTTGCCCTGGGGGGTCAAATGGGGGTAGAAAAATGACGTTTTTTATGTAAAAAGCCCCATCTACCCTGAACTCCTCTTACATTTTACTTAGCAGCCTAATCATCTTTTGTGGGATGATTAGTGGTGACATGTAGATGTGCAGTAAGGTTTTGGAATTTAGATTTTGCCCCGGGGGGTCAAATGGGGGTCAAAAAATGACGTTTTTTGTGCAAAAAGTCCCGTCTTCCCTGAACTCCTTCTACATTTTACTCAGCAGCTTAATCACCTTTTGGGAGATGGTTGGTGGTGTCATGTACATGTGCAGTAAGGTTTCGGAATTAAGATTTTGCCCCAGGGGATCAAATGGGGGTCGAAAAATAACGTTTTTTCATACAAAGAGCCCTGTTTTCCCTGAACTCCTCTTACATTTTACTCAGCAGCCTAATCATCTTTTGGGAGATGGTTGGTGGGGTCATATAGATGTGCAGTAAGGTTTTGGAATTTAGATTTTGCCCCGGGGGGTCAAATGTGGGTTGAAAAATGACGTTTTTTGTGCAAAAAGCCCTGTCTTCCTTGAAGTCTTCCTTAATGTTACTCAGAAGCCTAATCATCTTTTAGGAGAGTTAAATATTTTGAAAATTATGTAAAACATCAACGTCAAGGGGTAACAAGATGTGTTTGTGAAACACTATGTGCCCGGCGTCAACAAAGTTCGAAAAAGCTATTTTTAGCATATAGTTCACAGTCAAGGTCACAAGGTCATTGACCTTGGTGTTATTTGTAAGAACTTAATTAGTGGGGTATGCATACTAAATATGAAGTCCCTATCTCCTATGGTTCAAAAGTTATGGCAAAAAGTAGAAAAAGCTATTTTTAGTATAAAGGTCACAGTTAACTTCACATGGTCATTGACCTTGGTGTTGTTTGAAAGAACTTTATTAGTGGAGTATGCATACTAAATATGAAGTCCTTATCTCTTATGGTTCAAAAGTTATGGCAAAAAGTGGAAAAAGCTATTTTTAGCATACAGGTCACAGTCAAGGTCACAAGGTCATTGAACTTGGTGTACTTTAAAAGAGATTATTAGTGGAGTATGCATAATAAATATGCAGTCGCTATCTTCTATGGTTCAAAGGTTATAGCAAAAAGTGGAAAAAGCTATTTTAAGTATAAAGGTCACAGTCAAGGTCACATGGTCATTGACCTTGGTGTTGTTTGAAAGAACCTTTTTAGTGGAGTATGCATACCAAATATGAAGTCCCTATCTCCTATGGTTCAAAAGTTATAACAAACAGTTGAAAAAGCTATTTTTAGCATATAGGTCACAGTCAAGGTCACAAGGTCATTGACCCTGTTGTCATTTGAAAGAACTTTATTAGAGGAGTATGCATACTAATTATGAAGTCTCTATTTCTTATGGTTCAAAAGTTATGACAAACAGTTGAAAAACCTATTTTTAGCATATAGGTCACAGTCAACGTCACAAGGTCATTGACCTTGATGTCATTTGAAAGAACTTTATTAGAGGAGTATGCATACCAAATATGAAGTCTCTATCTCTTAAGGTTCAAAAGTTTTGGCCAAGGTTAAAGTTGACAACAGACAAACAGATAAACAGACAAACAGACAAACAGACAGGACAAAAACAATATGCGCCCCGAAAAAATTCGGGCGCATAAAAAAACATCGCATGCTGGGAAACACCTTGAATTCTTATGAGTAATTTATGTACATGTCAAATGTGAGAGTCATATCTCATCTCAATCAAAAGTTATAAGCAAATGCAACATTTTTGAAAAGTAGGTTAGGCTTGATCGCTTCAAGGTCAAGGTCACAGTGTAAAAGTCATGATTTATTTGGAAAGGTCTTATCACAGGTAATAATATACATGCATTATGATATGAATGCCCTAACTTTTCTCTTTCAAAATGATGAATTTATAACAATTTAATTTTTTTGCAAGTTGGTCAAACTTCTAGGTCACATGTAAAAAAAAAAAAACCATGCCATTCTCACAGGTAAATATATATACTAATACATAAGTTTAATATGAATGTCTCTTCTCATTCAGTAGATATAACCGTGATAACCAAGGTTAAATTTATTGAGACAGATGGACTGAGTCTGACATACAAATGTACATATTTCTATATGAATTGGGTAAAATTGGCCCAGTGGTTCTAGAGAAGTTAAAAATGTAAAAAGTTTTCAGACAAACAGATGGACAACACGTTACGACAGACATTATATGCTAAGGAAACCAGAAAAGCTCAAATGAGTGTTTTGAAAGGGTTACGATATGGTTGGAGCTGTTTTTTTTCCTGCAGAGATATGCATGACCAACATATTCATGTTTTATATTTTCTTTAGTGATTTGTTTGTTTGTTGTGAATACATCTTCCCTCATATGGAGACACCGCCAAATAATAATGAAGATAAGATGTGTTTGTGAAACACTGATGTCCCAGTATGGAAGCCTATGGCGAAGGTTAAAGTTTCTCAAATATATGTCAAAATCAAAGGTCAAGGTCAAAGGGTTCAAATTGTTAGTATCAGAAGAAAGTCTTGTCACAAGGAATGCACATGTGAAATAAAGAAATCCCTAGTAATTCCTGTTCAAAAGTTAATTGCCAAGGTTAATTTTTTTGTTTAAGTGGTTCAAACTCTAGGGTCAAGTTCAAACATATTTATACCTGTTGACAGTTCACAATGAATACAATATGTCATGATAAGTAAATTGAAAGCCCTAGCACCTACTGATCAAAATTTAGGCAGAGTTTAAAGTTTGGTATTTTTCTTGTAAAAATGTGTATCCCATGTCAAGCGATCAGAGGTAAAAATTAATGGTACCCAAATAAAAGGTCTTATTAAATTGTCACAAGAAATAAACCTATAAAATGTGGAAGCTATTTGTATAGCCCATCCCACTTAAAACTTATGGGCAAGCTAACTAGGATTTAATTTCTGCAGACTTATAGACAGACATACTAAACACAAGAAACAAAATATGTATAATAATTAGTCAAATGGAAAAAAATATACTATTTAACTGGAATAACAAAATACATTGCTATTTCAGGGACAGGAAGTGGGTAGGAAGATTGGAATCCCCCCCCCCCCATCTGGCATTTGCTTTGTTATTTAAACAAGACTATATACTGTAGCAAGTAAAAAATGACTCTTGACATCCTCTCCCTATAAACTTAGAAAACATTGACCTCACTATCATTGTTTTTTTATTTGTTTATTTGTTTTCATTTTTTTCTCCTGCTTGTCACGAAATTCTGGGCTGGAATTTTTTGACTGAGATGTGAACCCCCCTCCCTACTCCCGAAAAAAATTCTGGATCCGCACCAGTATTGGCAGTAACTGAATGTCACATCGACAACGGGAGATAACTTCACAATATGAAATTCGTCTAGTGTGGCATGCGATGATCTTTCACCCTTTTTAAACTTTAACCTTATAGTTTGGGTGTATTTTACCCCCCACTACACTAAAACTTCTACTTACCGACTCCCTGTGT